GGGAGGAGAGCAAGTGCCCAGGCAGACACCAATGAACACAAGTATGATATCTGTGAAAATGTTCTTGCTACTGGCCCCAAAATTAACAAAAAAAATTCCACAAAATCTTGCACCAATATGACAATCATGAGAATATTATTATTAGTGTTCCTAAACTAACAGAACAATTGCACCAATGTAGTTTATATGAATGGTTTATGTTTGGAAACAAAAAAAAGCTAATAAAAAATTTTCCAGAACACACAATCTTCTAAAGTAAATATTATCATTTCAATTAGGCTTATGAAATTGTTTTAATTTTCATAGATTAAAAAAAAAACAGAAAAACTGTACTTACTTTAAGTGGTGGAAATCATGAGCTTCAGGTGAAGGGAAGAAAGGAAAGTGGTAACCAGAATGGGCATTTAGTGTTGAGAGGATAGCTAGTGCAAGCCACATCCAACAGGTGGCAGTGTGACTGCCCATAAAGAGAACTCCAAGGAATGTTGGCAAAAAATTGGAGAAAACATACTCCACCGGGTGGCAATAAAGAGCAGTTATTGCAATTGGAGCTGTCCACTCGTGGTGTTGTTTATGAATGTACTTGTAGATTCGAGGATGGTGAAGTAGTCTTAATTAAAAAACATTTAAGTTATATTAAAACTCATATCATCAAGATACGTAGCTTTCTTCTTAACTACGGATCTTTGAAGCTTCTGAATGTAGAATTTTTTGGTATGTATATAAACACAGCAAAACTAATGTCAGGTGAAAATATTTTCACCTACAAAAAACTGAGTTTCTAAAGAGTAAGCAATTACATCTTACAGTTTTAAAAGTTTTACTAGTTAAATTTAAATGCCTTAAAAGGAACATATTTGTTTATTATTACAACAACCAGTGAACTATTAATTATCTAGTGTAATATACACTGATATTGTAGCACATAAAGACAAGTAATAAAGAACAGGTGTAATTTAGATGTGTTGTTTATAAACAACTATTACTCTTAATGCTTCATTGTCATTACTTCATGAATTTAATATGAAAGCTTTGAATCTGGATGTTACTTAATAATGTTCTATCTTGTCACACTTCTCTGTAAAAACAATAACATCTCATCCTCTCCTGAAAGAATAATATCATTTTATCCTTTTCTGTAAGAATAGACTAAATAACTCCAGCTAAACAGTAAACAGGTTATTAAGTAACTCTAGCTAAACAGTAAACAGGTTATTAAGTAACTCCAGCTAAACAGTAAACAGGTTATTAAGTAACTCCAGCTAAACAGTAAATAGGTTATTAAGTAACTCTAGCTAAACAGTAAACAGGTTATTAAGTAACTCCAGCTAAACAGTAAACAGGTTATTAAGTAACTCCAGCTAAACAGTAAACAGGTTATTAAGTAACTCCAGCTAAACAGTAAACAGGTTATTAAGTAACTCCAGCTAAACAGTAAACAGGTTATTAAGTAACTCCTGCTAAATAGAAAACAGGTTAAGTAACTCCAGCTAAACAGTAAACAGGTTATTAAGTAACTCCAGCTAAACAGTAAACAGGTTAAGTAACTCTAGCTAAACAGTAAACAGGTTATTAAGTAACTCCTGCTAAACAGTAAACAGGATATTAAGTAACTCCAGCTAAACAGTAAACAGGTTATTAAGTAACTCCAGCTAAACAGTAAACAGGTTATTAAGTAACTCCAGCTAAATAGTAAACAGGTTATTAAGTAATTCCTCCTTAACAGTGGGTTCTGTTAGAGCTGAGTGTCTTTGTGTTGGTGGAAGAAGTGTCCTTTAACTACACACACAGGTAATAAACCTAACATGATTAGTGTTCAACTAGAAATACCTAATCTTTTTACTGGAGGTACTTAATAACCTGTTTACTGTTAAGGAGGAATTACTTAATAACCTGTTTACTCTTTGTGTTGGTGGAAGAAGTGGCCTTTTACTACACACACAGGTAATAAACCTAACATGATTAGTGTTTCACTCAGCTCTAACAGAACCCACTTCTTCCACCAACACAAAGACACTCAGCTCTAACAGAACCCACTAACACTAATCATGTTAGTTTTATTACCTGTGTGTGTAGTAAAAGGCCACTTCTTCCACCAGCACAAAGACACTCAGCTCTAACAGAACCCACTGGAATGTAGGAAGTTCCACACCCATGGAATATCCTATTAAATTTCTCAGGTAATGGCCACCAATTAAGATAGGTATTCCAAAGATAAACTGATTTACAAGAACCTGTTTGATTACTTGGATGACTTTCAGACGTTCAACCTACCACAATCACGATAAAAACACTTAAAATCACTACTTTTCCAAGTATATTCTACATCATATTCAATCAAAGCTAATAAAACAGACATCTTTATCTATATTCATATAAATTCAAATAACTCTACACATATATATATCATATATATATATCCATCTCAAAGACGTATTTGATAATGAAATGACTTATTAATAGGATATCCACAATTCAAATTATTCATTGACACATTAAAGTCTGAACCCTACTTCGAATCATAAAAGAGACTGTTGAACAACATGTGTGAAAACATTTTGACAATGGTTTAAACAAGATATAAATAAGAAAGCCAGTACTAACACTGAAACTGACACAGTTGAAGAAAGTAATTTTTACTAATGTAGAATCCAATAACTACTGATTTTCAAACACCATGTAATTCTCCAATAATTCTTAAATATTAGATCTGTGTAGGATAATTAATCTAAATTATCTTTACTCCATGTAGGGTAATTAATCTAAATTATCTTTACTCCATGTAGGGTAATTAATCTAAATTATCTTTACTCCATGTAGGGTAATTAATCTAAAGTATCTTTACTCCATATAGGGTAATTAATCTAAATTATCTTTACTCCATGTAGGGTAACTAATCTATTATCTTTACTCCATGTAGGGTAATTAATCTAAATTATCTTTACTCCATGTAGGGTAATTAATCTAAAATAAACTGCTGAACTGCATATCTTGTTTTTTGAGTAAAATTAAAGATAAAACTTACAGTTTTATAAAATAAAACTATACGAAAGTTTTAAAAGAATGTACAAAGACATAAAAATTAGCAATTAAAATCTACAATAAAAGTAAGCATTTTTCATTGTTTCTTTAACAAAATATATCACAATGAAACAGCAAGTTCATTCAAATGTTACATGTAAAAATAACACTTTTTATTTGCAGGAATTACATAACCTGTAGAAATAATTTTGAAGTTTCAAACTATTTCATCTGTTAGTTTTTGTTACAATGCAATTTCTCAAACCGTACAATAGGTACGTAGAATTGTTGCACCCAGGTCTGAAAGTGTTAACTAGCAGTGTTTCAGACACCAGTTGCACCATCGTTGAAACTTTCCAGGATTATTAATTAAGGGTTTAAATTATGCTGCACGTAAATACACTGTTTGTTTTATTGTTCTACTTCTCCTTCTTCCTTCCCAATGAAGGCACTGCAACATCTTTGTTGGGAAATCGCATATTAAGAATAATTATTCAATTCTCATTCTCTTTATTTAACAGGAACGTTTTTTGTGAACTTTGCTGTTTATTGGGGTATTGGAGGGTTGTACACCCTGGTAGACTTGACTGGAAAACCAGCATTCCTTTTGAGATACAAGATCCAAGATAATGCACCGTATCCTGTGAGTTTGCTTACACTGACTTATATCAATTTAAGATGCTGTTACTGTTCTAAAACTTCAGAAACTACTGTAATCTTATTAGCAGAAACATTTTCAACAAAATACTAAACACTCGCTTCTCAACCCTATTATATTAGATGTTTCAAATTAGTCATAATACGAGTGAATTTTAGTTAAGTATCTTGCACTCAACTGTAACAAGTTTCATTATGCTAATAAGGCTAATGTGTTAGGCTCTGTTTACATTAGGCCTTATTGGCCTATGTAACTACTTGAATTGGTAAAGAAAATTCCCAAAAGAATTGTAAAAATGAACATAAAAGTTATTATTTTAGTTTTATTAAAAAATGGTTATTTGTATTGTTCACCAATTATTCTATTTTAATGAAACTTGTTACAGTTGAGTGCAAGATACTTAACTAAAACTATTTTAATTTCTTCAACAAAAACTTTTTCCTATTATACTTCAACATCATAATTTAAATTAAGTATAAAATGACAAATCAGGACTGTAGTTGTAGCAGAATCTAAATGTAGATCTGGTTTTAGCAATTCTTTATATGTCAATATATAAAGTTACGAATACAACTTGAGAGCCCCCCAAAACTCTTTTGACCCCTTAGCTTAGTTTTGCATGGCTTCTTGGATGCTATTATGAATTTTCAGATAAATTAGTTCAATCAAACACGAGAGACCAAAAAATCGTTAATCCCCCAATTTTGGGGCCTTCTTAGAGCTCTTTTGAAACTTTTTCTTTTACTTATACTGTCTAAAGAACATATACCAACATTTTAAGTTGCTTGCTCCATACATAGGTACAACAAAGAATTATTCAAGTCTGAGAGTTATGGCTATCACAGAACCCTTCAATTATGATAAAGAGGATTCATTCCTGTAAAACACTGATCTTTCTAAAATAACTTTGTAAATAATTTCTACAAATCTCAAATCATAGTTATATTCAACAGTTCTCCTGAAGTATCCTAGAAAATCTTTATCCAACAACCAATCACAGCAACTTTTTTCATTGTTATATTTTAGAACAAAGAGTACTTCATCAACAACCAATCACTGCAACTTTTTTTCATTGTTATATTTTAGAACAAAGAGTACTTCATCAACAACCAATCACAGCAACTTTTTTTCATTGTTATATTTTAGAACAAAGAGTACTTCATCAACAACCAATCACAGCAACTTTTTTTTCATTGTTATATTTTAGAACAAAGAGTACTTCATCAACAACCAATCACAGCAACTTTTTTTCATTGTTATATTTTAGAACAAAGAGTACTTCATCAACAACCAATCACTGCAACTTTTTTTCATTGTTATATTTTACAACAAATAGTACTTCACACCTGCTGTTATTGTTCCATTTTTACACTAGTTTTCTTAATACATTTGTGTTTTACTAATCATATACAAATTAACACAGCTTTGACCTAATTAACACAATCTGCAGTGTATTCAACTTGTAAGAACCAAAACAACCTTACAACTTACCCCATATGTTCATATTGTACTCATCCCCATCAAAAAACTCGTACACTTTCTCCCACTGTCTTTGCCAGAAGTCTCCAGAAGCTCCCCAGAAGCACTGCAGATGCCTGAAAATATTTCAAAAAGAATGCAGAATAATTACAGTATGAACCTACTAAACACTGATTTAAAGTGAATCAGACATAGTACACTATTTACCAGAATAATTACAGTATGAACCTACAAAACACTGATTTAAAGTGAATCAGACATAGTACACTATTTACCAGAATAATTACAGTATGAACCTACTAAACACTGATTTAAGGTGAATCAGACATAGTACACTATTTACCAGAATAATTACAGTATGAACCTACTAAACACTGATTTAAAGTGAATCAGACATAGTACACTATTTACCAGAATAATTACAGTATGAACCTACTAAACACTGATTTAAAGTGAATCAGACATAGTACACTATTTACCAGAATAATTACAGTATGAACCTACTAAACACTGATTTAAAGTGAACAAAATTCATTAAGTGAATCAGACATAGTACACTATTTACCAGAATAATTACAGTGTGAACCTACTAAACACTGATTTAAAGTGAACAAAACTCATTAAGTGAATCAGACATAGTACACTATTTACCAGAATAATTACAGTATGAACCTACTAAACACTGATTTAAAGTGAATCAGACATAGTACACTATTTACCAGAATAATTACAGTATGAACCTACTAAACACTGAGTTAAAGTACATAAAAGAAACCTATGAAAGACTCACGAGTTTTACCCCAAACATAAGTTATGTATTAAAAGAAACATGTTTGAACCTGCGTTGTTTTATAAAATAAGCACATTTTATAAGTTTTAACAATAATGCTTTATTCAACTTCTGCTGAAATCACGAGTTTAACTCACACAATTCCTAACAGACATTTCCACCCACAGAATCAAAGTGTACACAGTCTCCCAATAACAGTCATAATCTACTGACCACTAAAAATATAAATGACTTTATATGTGGTTAATTCTGGCAAGAGACACCCAGTCAACTATGTTATATACTTTATGGTATTGACTTCTCCTTGAAAAACTTTTCGAACTACTTCTAGGTATTATCCTGAATCTTAAAATAGTAACTAAATTAGCCTGATTTCTCAATAATAATATTAAATACACAGAAGCTTGTAACCTTTTAAATGTTTTGTTATTGTTCTGCTGCTCACTCTGAGAAAAATCTTGTGACATTCCATCACATTTATTGATGTCGAAAAAACAAACAAAAACAGATTGGCACGTGCTTCACGTATTAACAAATATTTTATATACAGATCTTGTGACATTCCATCACATTTATTGATGTAGAAAAAACAAACAAAAACAGATTGGCACGTGCTTCACGTATTAACAAATATTTTATATACAGATCTTGTGACATTCCATCACATTGATATATTATCTGTACGTATACATTTATTTTGTTTCAATACTTGGTTTGAGAAGGTCATATGTTCAAAGTCTAACACATGCTATGTAACCTTACAAAGTGAAAGTCATTTATGCCAAGGCTCACCAAGTTAGTGTATTCCGGAAGGCAACAAATACAACTAGTGCTGTTCCAAGGATAAACAGACCACTTTTTACTGAAGAAACAAGCTGAGCTTTACGACTCTGAGGCTCTTCTACTACCTTACGAAGAGAATGACAACTGGCTTCCTTTAAGTCCATTACTGACTGAAAATGAAAATATATTTAAGGATATTATTTTAGTTGCTATGCAGAAAAACTTTCAAGTCACGAACATAATCTATTAACACAAAAACGTACATCAACGAAACTCTATCTAATCATAATTTACACAAAACCATGTAGCTACAAGCAACATAAAATTTTAATAACAGTATAAACTATTAACATACCAACATATCCTAAAACAAAACCCACTACTAAGCTTCTTCATACTGCATGAAAATGTCAATGTTGTTTAGGTGACCTACATGTTTTGGAAAGGCATGACAAGACAAATTATATCTTGATTAGTGTTGAACTGAACTTCAAGTAACTTATTACATGAAGAACACTTGTTTTTTTAAAAATCAAAGAACAACAATCAAAATTGTAAACCGTTAAATACATTGAGATGTACGGAGAAATGTTAACAGTTGTATAGAAGTTTGTAGGAGTGCAGAACTAGAGGCAATAATATTCTGGTGTTTAACTTTGTTTATGTTACCTGTATAAAATCTTCAGTTTCTGTACTAATAGAATTAGAAATGATGCAAGCCAAAAGTCTGGGTTTACACTTACTGAGTTGGATTTTTATTATTCTTGGTTTGGGAATCGAAAGTAGCCTCAACATCTTGTGTTTTAACTGACAGGTTAAACTAATTTGAAGATATATTTATTCTTTAAGCATAACCACTTGTAATGACAAACTGAAGTTGATGAACTGGAGGATTTAGACTCAAATAGATGACTAAAACAAAACTATATGTTTTGTACATAAAGTTAGAAAACAACCATAGTGTTGATCTCAAACATATATATTCCTTCTATTACAATTGTACCTGAGAGGTTAACGAATTACTTGAGGTTGTTGAATGTCACAGAAAGAAGACTTTAAGTTGTTTTTTAAGATGTTAATAAGGCAAGTATTTTAATTTTACTTGAGTGGCCTATAGTGTCCATATTCTATATAAACACTATCAGCTACAACTTTTTAGAAGTATCATATGTTTAGGGTACTAAATGAGGCCAGCTATATTTGAATTAATTATTAAGAAGTAGAAAATGTACTCGTTAGTAGACAGCTAAATATCAAATGACAACATATCAAACCTTTGGAACACAAACCAATATAAAGTGCGAACTTATTAAATAGTTTCACACAAAACATTTATATCTGAAGTTTACAAGATTCAACATTATCAAAAATTTTACCCTAGTCACAATGTGTATATATATAATAAACTCAAACAATTAACAATGTAAAAAACAACAACACAGAAACATCAGTTTGTCTCAGCCATCGCTCTCCACTTATGTTAATAAAATTTACATGGTATAGAAAGGCACCAAAGTTATACAACACCTCCGAAAGTTAACATCTTATCAACAGAGAATTACATTAACATATAAGCCTCAAACTGTTTTATACTTTGCAGAAAGGTAACATGTACGAATAAAATCATAATAAATTAATTTATTTACAAATTACAATAAAAAATTGAGTAGAATTAATAAATTTTTTACAGATTTATGCAACTGATAACTTTTTAGCTTCATTGAAAATTCCAGCAATCTCATATTAGTGATACTACACTTTGTGAACTTCAAATTTATGCCCAGGTTTAAATTTAAAACACACATTTTCATAATGTCTACTATTACTATGTCTCCAAGCATTATTACTATTAGTATATTAGTACTATTACTAAGAATATCATTGTATTGATATAATGACATTGTGCAACACTGAAATTGACAATATTTTGAAAAATATTAGCAAATTATCAAAATTATTTTATGAAGAAATATGTCTGATTTTAATTTGAAAATTTAACACCTGTACTATTTCTAGTCTTAATTGAGTGATTTTAAAAATAATAACTTGCATATCATTTCACTGTTGTGAGACTGAGAGCCAACAGACGCCATTAAATTATTAATTCATTCATCTAACAATGAGAGGGTTATAGTAATAAGTATTACTATTAGCATTACAAAGTATAAGTTATAACACTAAAACTACTGAAGTTTTGTCATTTTTCACTTCATTCTATGCGTGGGACAACTACATTACAAAAATAAAAAACTAGTTCCTGGAGTGGAGGAAACAGCAGAAGACAAAATTCTTCTTCCAAAAAAGTAAGTTAAATGACATTTTTTACTGTAAGCGTAAAACTGTAACTTCTCTATTATTACCACTAGTAGTAACAGTAACACTATTAGTATTACTGTGTTAGTATACAAACATCTTTGGTTTAAATTCCATCCTTAAATTATGATTACCAATATACAATACCCTGAATAATTAAAAATATATAAAACTAAAAATTGTTACTTATAGTTATACATGCTGTCTACAAACATTCTTTTTTACCTACTTTAAAGTTTTAGCTGTCTTCCCAAATCAAACATGAAAAATACTTTCCTCAAGAAATGATTTTGATCTCGCAAACAAAACCAAACCAACAGTAATATGAGCACGCGCAAAGTAAGCTGCAGTGTTAGATTACCTCACTTGAAATTACATCACTATTCTCAAAATATATCAACGACAGATGGACGCAATGCTTAACACAACAAAATATATTAACGACAGATGGACGTAAGATTTAATAGGATATATATTATCAATATCTCTATTAATACATTTATGACATCTTTCAATGAAATGGTTTAACATATTTAGTTGAATTGGATTTTGTTCAAAGCACGAAACTCAAAAATATTAAATAATGTAAAAAGACAAAAACAAACAAACAAAAACATGACAATGTTTTAAGTTTTTCTTTTTTTAAGTAAACTTTCGTTATATATATATATATAAACAAATATAATTAGCTGTAAAGTTCAACCAATTATATAGCACAAAAATATTGAAATAAAAAACAAGATAACATTTTATTACTTTGACGGTCATATTTCAAGTAGTTTGTACCACCATTCAATTCCTTATAAATTCTTAAAGAAATTTAACTAATCAGAAAAAATATAATATAAAGTAAGCGTAAACAACCATGAACTTGTTGACAAACGGTTTAAAAATTAAACAACATTCATTTGACAAAAATGAAATAAAAAATTCGTTTGAGTAATGAATCTGTAAATTATAACATAAAATAGATTTATAGAAATTGAGTAATAAATATATTAGAAGCGAACTGGAATATGCGTGTAGCTAGAATGAAAGAGATTAGTTTAACAGTTTTATGGCTGAAACATCCTTTGGTAGGATGTATTCGGGTAAAGATTTCTGAATTTTCGAGCAAGTATTTTGTATGAAGCATGATATTCTTGTTAACTGAATGTCGAAAGGTCGTAAACATGTGCTAATACTTTTACTCAGGCATTTTTTAAAAAATTAATATGAAATTTCACTACATTGTTCCCTCCTCAAAGGGGACAGTGCGCCGGACTTGTACCCGCCCTTTCCAACGGCTAGAAAGTCATACCGTACTTTTACTGTCTTTTTATTTTGATGTCTAAGTTTTCAACTGCTTTTATTTTTTCTAAGTCTATTCAATTTTCGCATATAACACAAGCAAGTCATTAAGTTGACTTCGGTTTAACCGCCTCTGTCATTCTATGGAGGTAACACTTATTCTGCACATGGGTAATATGAATGTAATACTACACGTTGTGCGAGAACATCGGCTGCCAGTATTCTCCGATGTTAGGCCATACGACATGTTGAGGTTACAGTATTTGCTATGTTTGAATGAGAATGACATTTACCTTTAAGGAAGAAAAGTTAGATTTAAACACCCATATTCCACGTTTACAGTGAACTGATAAGTTCTAATACATATCGAGGGAAGAAAGCCAGTTTAACCATTATTTATTAATAAATAATTTCGTTAAAAACAGGCTAAATAGTAACTATAAATGATATAGAATCTGAAATATTTTCTCCAGTGGTAGGAGTGCCCTCTGGGCACAGTACTAAGTCCTTAATTAATAATGGCTGGAGACGGCTTGAATGGGTAATGAAGAAAAACTTTAATATAAGTTTAACATAACCGCAAATGTACA